GTGGCATACAAGCCAAATAAATAAATAAATAAATAAATAAATAAATAAATAAATAAATAAAAAAAATGCAGTTAACAGAACCAACTATGGACATATGGCTGAATTTACAAAGCACTGTGACAAAAAGCTGCAAATTGTTTACACTGTAAACTCAAAAGGTACAGATTAGAAAGTGAATCCTATATTATATTATTATTATTATTAATTATTATCTATTTAAATGTATTATAGTTGCCCACTGCCATAGACTGTGGCTGGCTTACAAATACAAAACAATAAAAGCAGTTAAAAAAAATTACACACACTTAGTTGTGTTACAGCTAAATTATAAACATGAAGGAGTCCTCTACTGTATTGCTATATCACATTCTCTTCTCCAGGGGAAGCAGTTCCTGGAAGCTGGAATGAAATGAATTAGGTGGTCTTCAAGAGTCATAAACCCTACTTGATCGAGTCACAGTTGTTTCTAAAAAGACTGATGTTACTCTTCCACAAATACAGATTACATGTGACTACCATGCAATAACATCAGCAAGAGCTGAAATAGCTGGTATCATTACATGAATCTATGGTACAGCTACACTTGAAATACTTTGTATCATCCAGGTGGCTGCAGCCCAAAAAGATATTTATGCTGAAAGGTACAGAAAGGGTACATTTGTTGGCATGTTAGGGGTCATATTCCAAACAGGAACAGCCACAACAAAACCTAAATTTAATTTAATGGACACTAAATTAATTAAGTATAGCTAATATAGTTATTTCTTCTGCCTATCCTTATTAAAAATTGTAATTCAGCATCAAGGTGTCAGAGAAATACATGCAGTACTAGGCCTCAGGTTTATGTCTCTTTTTCAAAGTTTAAAAAACAACAACACCTAAACAAACCCTTTTACAACAGTTTACAAGATTGATTACAAGCAACAGATTTCAAAAATAAAAGCCACAAACAAAAATAAAACAGCCATCTCATTCCCAAAATAAACTAATGTGATTTTATTAAAATGTACTTTAAGGGAAATCCATAGAAAGCAGGGCAATTTTGATACCTTTGCTAAAAATTGGTTGCAATAGGACTTGGCAGACTATAAAATAACTCTGTTCCAAAGACTTATGGGATTTCAGCAGAAGAGAGCTTTCTCTTTCATACTTTCAGTCTGACTGGTCTTAGAGATGGACATAGAATAACAAAACAAGGATCCCTAATTTGTCAGTGTTTGATGCCAAGAACAAATATCAACAAATTCTAGGCTGTTAGGAAAAGAAATTAAAGATCACAGATCAGTCAAAATTATAAATAACTCTTAGTCAGATGTTCCCTGGTTTACTTAACAGCTTTTACAAACAGGAAGAAATAAGCCAAAGAAATCATTTCAGACTCACACAATTCTCATACTCAATCAGCCTATATCCTTGAGGATTCAAACCGGAGGTCAGCAGGTAGTCTTCTCCCTAAACTGATTAACTGATTTCTTAAGTGATCATGCAAAAATCAGAATACGGAGCAATGAAAAGTGTTAATACATTCCTGGTTCACAAAAGGAGCCATTATTTTATTGCAATAATCTTCAGGTGATAGTTCATTTCTTATACCCTTAAATATTTTAGTGATTACGTACATCTGAGAATAGTTTGAAACCAGTCTTCAAGTGTCATGCAAACAATAATGTCAAAGTATTGTTTTGTTTATCGAATTGCTTTCTTACTGCTTTATAGCAAACCAGACCCAAAACTGTAATGCCAAAAAAGAAAAAAAGAAAAAAAAAGGCTACTGACTTTGCCATCCAATCAGCTGCACCCGACCCAAATAACACACTTCCCAACGAGCAACATTCTATCAAGTCCCATGATTATGAATCTTTAGGAAAGCTGTGAAAATCCACCTGCTTCCTTCTTTCTTATTATTATTTTGCATTTCACTGGACTGTTCCTGGGTTCTACCTTTACAATACATCAGATCTACTTTGGTGAGCCACCTAGATTTGTTTTTCACCTTTATAAGCAGCCTTAGTTTAACTGAGGCTCTTAACAGGTTACAACAGGATTGTTACAGTATTTTCCATCCAGCAGCCATCTTAACGTTGCAGCAAAACCCACCCCTCCTTCCCCTTTGTCCCTCTCCCCAAGGGAATTACAACAGACTGCAAGGACTACTGAGAGTAAGGCAAGGTGAGAAATGGCCCAAGTAAACTAAACTTAGATCTACTGAAACAATGTTAAGGAAAAAAGGAAGAAACTTGCAACCCCTTAACTGGAATCATAATTATCTGCCTACTGTGGCATAAAGGTATACTCAAGCTTATTTTACAGAAGCACTGGTTTCATTAAGAAGATGCCCCTGCTTTTTGTGGGTCAAAGCCTAACTACAGCAGACTAAAACTAAATATAATGGCCCAAATGATCTTTTGCAGAAAGAGAAACATATACACATCAAAAAGTGTGATACCAGCAAAAAGCATTCCGTAAGTTTATTTAACATTTCAAAACCTCCTCCATTCCAATGAGAGTTTTTTTTAATTAAAGCAAACCGATTAACAGGAAAAAAGTATGCAGAGCTATAATAGTATTAACACAATGATATACTATCAAAGTTTTCAAAAAAGGGGGAAAAAAGGCTCTGCAAAATTATTTTGTAAACAAAACACTTCCCCAAAACTGACCCAATCGCTCATCTACTTTGTTCCTGTGGCTCCCATCCCCAAAAAGAAATCAAATATTGACAGGTCACACATATCAGCAATCCACTGCTGCAAATCAGGCACAGATTTATTCATCCAACGTTCAATAGTTTCTTTTATCAACCCATATGAGTGAAACGTTCACCATTCTTCACTCTTGATGGGATTCAAATATTAGGGATGTAGCTCGGCAGAACATCTTTATCCACAACCATCAATCTAAAGTCATGTTAACAATTCTTCGGCTTTCAGCTCAAAACACAGTAGTACCAAGTTAGGTTTCCAATGCCTGAATTTTACTTCTACCACCAAGGCAACTGCAACCAATCATTATCAAACATTCTCCAAAGTGTCGGATATACCCAAAACAGAATTCTCTACTGTACTGATTTCATTTTAAAATCAAAATAAATTAATTTTATATTGTTCAAAGCAAATTTCCATTGTTTTAACAGAAGCACAACATTCATGCTCATTACCCCAAAGCTTACATGAAATTCATGTAACTATTTACGTTATCAACTTCCTTCAACTTCTTATAGAAATAGTTTATTTGCATAGGAGCTTCAATCAATTCTTCCAAAGCCTCTAGCAACTGCAAAATTTCAAATAGCAATTGAACCATGATCCCAAATAACTAAATAGTGCAAATAAACTGAATAAACTGCCAAAACAGTAAACCAAAATTAGTTAAAAAAAAAAAACATCAGAATTTTATCTGCAGTAACTTGAAAAAGATTTAGCAGCTACAGCTAAAATTGAATTTTCCCATATTGAGTTTTTGTGGCTAAAGAAGTCAACATTCTACCTGCAACTTATTATTGTCCATATGGATCTTGCCACATTAATTCCAGTTACAGCTAAGTAAAATGTACATAGATTTAGATAAACATTCCTTGTTTCAATCCAAGTAGATCCTTACCAAGGATATAGCCACAAATGTTTCATAGGATGGCATTATCCACCATACTGACATGCCTCCTTGAAGACCACCAAACTATCTAACAGTGAGACAGACAGTTCTTTAATCGTATTCCTTCCTTGGCAAAGGCCTGCTTGATTGGAGCAGCATATCAATCCCAGTAAACAAATACATAAAGAGGAAACACAAAATAAAAGAATGTGATTTGGTGAGAAACCAGAATGTGCTTAATTTTCTTTGAAATGCTAGTCTCATGTATCATCACAATTTGCTTTTGAAATTCTCTCCAATTTCAAATGTAGTTGGTTATATTTTGAGGGGGAGAAGATAATTAAACGAATGTCATAGGTGATGCATGTATTTTCTTGTGCCTTTAATTTTATCGGAACCCTATGCCCAACACTAATAAAACATATTTTTAAGATCACAGGATCTGATATTAAACTTTCTATCCTTTTTCACAAGTCTCTCTCTTTAGAAGCCATTCTGCACTTATTAGAGGTGAGGTGGGGTTATATCTTACTTGCTTATTCTGTTTCATGGAGTTCTTCTATATCATCCAAGACGCTTGGGTACAGTTGTTCCCTGCAAGCAGATGGAGACAGCAACAAACAGAATTTTTTAATGGCAGCATCCCCATGTGAGGGGAATTTACAGGCTCAAAATCCTAAATCTTCCAAGAAAAGTAAACAAAACCCCCTATCAGATATGATATTAGTTGTTGTAAATGCTTCAATCTCAAGTGATGTCAAAATAATTGGTGCAGATATTAAAATTACAACTCAAATGAGAGCTAAGAGATAAAGACTCACCCTAAACTAGATAATACACTAATTGCTAGCTTATATGAACATTTGAAAGAGGGAGGAAGAACTGTAATTCTCATGACACGGGGTTACGGTAGTCTTTCTCAATCTGGCATCCAACAGTTCTCAGACTGCCTAGGCAACATGACTAAAAGCCACAGCAGATGGAATTCAGGAACCTACAGCTCCCAAATATCTGATGAGTGTCAGGTTAGGGAAGGCTGGATTAGAAAGCAACACACCTTTGCAAACACACTTAATTCCATGGGTAATGCTTAGAGCACTTAACAGAACCTAGACTACTTTCTTAAACGCTTTCTTCAAAAGAGAATTTTTCTTAAGCAACTGGCTTGTGCCTGGTACATTAATTAGTAATAAGTCTTAAGCATATTAATGTCTGCAATCAGAAGATTCACCTCACATGCAATTTCTTGCATGAACAATATATATTCCTAAACAGCCCCTCTGGCATGGATAAAATCTTTGAATGGCTCAATCTAGTCCCTTTTATTCCTTTCAGACATTCATTGGAACACAATACTCCTTTTCCAGTGTAAATGAGAGAAGAAGCCATCTGTTAATTATACTTCCAATATTCAAAAAGTCACTCTTGTAGCATAGCTTTGAAATTCAATTCTCACCACACACTTCTGAAGACAAGTCTTTCCCCGCTGCTCACAGACTATTGTGATTGCTTTAAAAATGAAAATATACCCATACCACCCTCTCACACTGAATCCCGCAGCAACATTAAAACCTGCCTGACAGAAAACAAGGAATCAACTTTGGTCACTAATGAACCCACACTTGCCTTTGTTTGGAGGTTTGGGATAAAAAAATAGAAAATAGTTCTAACAGGGAAGTGAATATGCCAGAACTTTAGCATTTCTAAAAAACGAAAGCTATAAAAATTATGTTCTCTATCTATAGCAACTTTTCCAGTTTAATATTACATCTGATCAAAGCTAAATAGTTTTAACACACATACATTAGTAAGTCACAATACAACCAATTTCCAAGAGGAACCCAGAAGCTGCCTGCTGGGTCATTCTCTTCTCACCGGCAACGATGCTGGCTGCAGAAGTGGATTTTACTATAGAAAGGTCAGTTCTGCAAGAACAAAAATTTTTATTGCTTTAATCTGCCCAACACTAGTTACCTGAACAGACTGATCCTTGCTACCCACTCAGTCAAGATCACAGACTGGTCAACTGGTTTATCCAAAACCACTCAAATGTGCCATTGTTGAGTTTTAACAGATCACCTTGAACAGTCAAAGTTGAACTTCAACCACAGCAATCAGTAAGGTCCTACAACACCATCAAAGCTAACACAAATAAACTTTTGTGTACCATAATCCACTTTTTCAAATATTTATATGCAGAAATGTAAACGTAATTAAAATATTTTCATGTTTTAATAGTATTGTTGGAATTTGCAGCAACAACTGATAATTAGAAAACAATATCTTTTAATTAAATGAAGAATTCAGCAGCATGATTTTCAGTGAGTAAAAACTGGAGTATTTTAAGCAGCCATAGCCTTAAATAGGCATGAATATAACAAGTTATAACATTAGTATTTTAAAAGAACAGCTATGTAAAATCTCCATTTTGCTTTACCAAAACATCAGATTTTTTCTACATTAATATAGTTTTATATAGTTTGTATTTTAATATTACATTTTTATGAATATCACAAACTTTACTTTTAGACTTATGCAATATATTTATATAAACGGACCCAGTATTTCTGAAAACAGTTGTTTCCAATGTCAGCTATGTTACTTTCATGATGCCCCTCCAACTTAAGGCAACATTGCACACATCTGACCAAAGTTCTGAGTCTTTAAAATACCTAAAGATGGTATTGTTTTCTTTCATTTAATAAGACTTTCCAAAAGCCTTTTAATGTCAAAACTTTTAAAGCCGAAGAGGCAGTTTTTCCCTTTTTTATTACTTCTTCAATTAAATATTTTTCAGTCACATAAATCCTGATGTTTATTCAAATATGTAGACCATTTTTCTATCTTGAAATAGAAAATATTTCCTCATACGTATAGTAAATTCAACTAAAAACATCTCTCCTAAAATTAGCAGCCCAAAATAACCAGAAAATCAAGCATGTAGTATCATAAACTAGTTCTGCTAGAGGGAATTCACAGAGAAAAAACCCCTTATCTACCACCTCCCCCTCCGCCCCCAGCTATCCAACAAGCACCTATTTCACTTGAGAAGAGTTTCAAAAAGCAATTTGCAGCTACCGTGAACAGCCAGCCCCTCAGATGGTGGTGGCAGAGAAGAATCAGACAACCAGCTGTACTCCTGAACAGCATTTTGGAACCACAGGATTACTTTTCCTCAGCCAACTGCAATGTCCAACCAAAACAGGCAAGTTATATTGCCCTTTTATGGTCATCAGGGAGACTGCTTCAATGAACCTGCAGCCCCGCCTTCCAGCAGTCAATGGTTTTTATCTACAGGAGGTAAAGGAACACAAGCTAATCAGAAAATCTTGGTGTACAAGGTTTCACGCAATCAGAGGCAGTCTCCAAATATCCTAATCCCAAACTGCTTTAGGAAGGTAACTTCCAGCACTTGGAATTGGGCTCAGGAAATTAAGGGCTGGGAGTGTAGTTTTATATTCATATTTCTGCATTCATGAGGAGCCAACCTGTGGACATCTACACCAGTTGTATCTTCCAACTTTTTCCTCTGCAGTCTGGACAGGAAACAGTTCAACCCAACCAACCATGAGAATCCAAGAATTCCAATGAATAGTAGAAATGAAGGTGAAAGTTACAATGCAAGCGTCCCAGTGATTACTCTCCCTATGTAGATACCTACATAGCTAAATTAGGGTGACAAACTCTTGACTGTTTCCTCCCACTCATTCTAGGCTGAAGGCTGAACACTCCCTCTTTTATGATACCCCTTTTACCAGTATGGTATATTAGCTCCCGACCTTCAAGAAATATAACAGACAATTGATAAAAAGAACACTCTAGATTAATACCACCTGTTTTACCAGAAGCAACACACGGTCCAGAAGGACTCCAAGGCTCATGAAGTTCTGATGATATAAACATCACACCTCCAAAGCTGGACTAACATCTAATAAACTGTGGTGCACCTTCATCCAATGGCCCACAGCTTCCTACTACTAGTTTCTGATGATGATACCCCTGGGTGTTTATACAAATGATACTTAACTATTATCAGCATGTACATGACATCCAGATCTAAAACTTCAGATGATTTCTCCCAGCAACTTCACATCTGTGTTTAACAGCAAAAACAATGATACAGGCATAAAAATATCCTTGCAGGGATAAACTAGCATCTCCCCAGGGTACTGAACTAACCTCTCACGCCATCATCTTTATGCATATTGGCACAAAGACTGATGTATTCATCCTTAATAGATTCACAAGAATCAACGAGACTAAAATTAGTTAGAATTAATAGAAATCTGGTTAATTTCAATAGGTTTCTCTATTTATGATTACATGTGGATCAGCTTAAATGCTATGATCTAGGTAAATTTTTTTAAAACATTTGAACTGCTATACATTACTCTCAAATACAGTTTGAAGTCTTCAGCACTTATTCACCTGAGATAACATGGTTCTATTTTGTTTCAGTTTTACCAGTTTTCTTAAAGTGGATATAGACTAAGATTAACGTCACAATCTAGTTTATTATTTTTATTGTACTAGTTACTGAATGTTAGATTTTTTAAGTGGCCAGCACCATAACATGGTGATGAGCAGTATATAATTTTACAATGCAATAATTATATATAAACATAAGTATGGTAAACATAAATAAGAATAGCAATATTTAGCTATTTTTTTCTTTTTTTTACGTCATGCCTTAATTTCTTCGGCTTACTATATCTTACTCCTTTTCTGCACTTTAAATAAAGTTGGTATCCCAAAAGGGAAAAGCATGGTATATATCTATGTATGAGGGCAATCCTAATACTTCATATATAGGTTACCATTGTTAGTTACTTATTTCGCTGTTTCAAGAGAAGAAAACTTTTTTTTATGAGACTGTAAGCCATTGCTTGAAATGCTATTTCTGGCTTCTACAATAATATATCCAAGAATTATATCTCACTTGAAGATGTTTTTCAATTTTTCAAACTCTGCTAACAAATTGCAACATAACTGCACTACTAAAAAGAAAATTCTTTAATCAACATTTCATTCCATGAAAGAGCAAGTGATACACATAAGGCTGAAAGCTACCCAAATACAGCAAGGCATAAATGGCATGTTTAAGGAACAATATACAAAATTTCTGTACATAGTTATGATTAGTCAACTCATGAGAGTACGGAAATCAGGAGTGTTAAGTATTATACAATATTACACAGCTAAATATGAAGGAATTAATCTAGAAGCCTAAGAATCTTAACTTGAAATTTTACTAGCATAATTCAGTATGTAGCCTTCAAGAACACATTACTGATTTGTTTACCCAACTGTAATGCAGGGATGGTTGTTCATATTTTAAAGGACTGATTGGAAATTGATGTAATTTTTTTTCCCAAGTAACTGCTGACAAACTGGGTAGAACCTGTTACATTAACTGATACGAAAAGCTTTTGTATAGAACGAAATTAGCACGAGGTGCAAAGAGCTATAGACATCTGAGATACAAAGCATAAATTCCTTTGAAGATAAAGGCAGGGCTATTCATTTGATTAAAAAAAAAATACACACACACACACACACTTCTAAGACCTAAACAGGTTCTCTTTCCCTTTTTGCTCCTACTAGCCCAGTTATTTCTTCTTCTTGCCTCCTCTCTATCCAGGTTTGTTCCTCCTTTTTCCCTTCTCTCCTCACTAAAGCTTCCAAGTGCATCAACTTCCCTTTCTGAGTATGAGTGGTTTGTTTGTGAAAGAGGGTGACTGGTATGTGCAGATGGGGATCAACAAATTTTGTAGACTGGTTTACTTAGAGAGGCAATTCATTTTATTTAATTGTGGTTATTAATTCAATTAATAGGATTTCAAGTGAAATAACACGTAGTAAACAAACTACATGTGGAAGTAAGAATCTACTGTTCATTTATTTTACTTTCAAATATTACCCATACAATATTTGAGCTTAGAAAGCCTAGAAATTAGCACAAAAGAATCCTAACAAGATCTATCTTTGCTTTGCAACTGCTGTCACTATTCCAAGTTCACGTTTCTATACTGTAATACCTGAGTCAAGTATTCTATCTATTTCAGTACAAAATTATGTATGTTGAACAAGATATCAGTAGTGGCTGGGACACCATGCCACGACAATGACCACCAAGATGCACCTACTTCATCCTGAAGCCCACTGATAGGTACTCTAATGCCAGAAAAGCTGCAGTTCAAGCATGGATGGAGAAACATGTTCACTTATAGAGATGTACCAAGAGGTGGTCATATGTAACGACTTAGAACATTCCTGCTGAAAAAGTGATTGGAGTCCATTCACTCCGACACAATATTTGGTCAGATTCCAAAGATGTGACAAGCCACCTTGCAATAGAAATTGAAGTCTTTAAGTCTTCAAACAAATGTAGTGAAGAAACCGTTCTTTTAGTGTGTGTCCAACCATTACTGAAATAAAATATTAAACAGCACTTAACACTTGAGAGAGAAACTGCTACTGCCTTTACAAAGCCCTCAGAAAAAAATGACACCAGAGGGTAACATCGCAAAAAGCACTGGTAAACTTTACAGGAGACTCTTAAGGTCCACCCACTGTATGCAGCTTGTTTTAGTGAACAAGTATATCCTAAATAACAGAAGGACAAAATAAAGCTATTCTCTAGGATAGCAGCATTTGTCTGCTTTAGAGAAGCTGACAAAAAGCTCACCAAAATATATCTTTCTCATATGTTTAAATATTTTCTCCGAGGTTTTAAATAAATCATATTCAAAAGAAACTCTGTATATGAATAGAAAGCCATATTAAAAAATCAAGAAAGCCATATTTAAAAAAATCAAGTTTGTGAAATCCTCTTTATTTATCTAGGACTAGAATTATTTTTGGAATTAATTATAGTGGAGAAGCCCATTT